GAGCCTGGTGAGTTACAGTCCATGAGGTCACAGAAGAATTGGACACAACTTAGTGACTGAAACAACCTCAACAATAACAACCATACCTGCCTCATAAGGTTATTGAGAGAGACACAGTTGGCATTCAAAATATGGTAGTTCCCTACGCTGTGCAAACTAGCGAAATGTTTTGGGGATTTGTGGACACTGGCTTTGCTCCTGGAGCTGTGGGGGAGGGCGGCCCTGGGTGGAGTCAGGTGTGGGTCCCGGAGGGAGGTGTGTGGGTCCCAGGCCACACGTCCCAGCTGGGACATCCCACGGGCATGATGGCTGATCTTCGGGGCTTCTCTGTGTCCTCAGGAGGGTGTGAGAGGTGTTCTTGCATGCACACCCACGGGGATATCACTGCAGCCCATAATAGTGTCCCCGTCTGGAAGAAGTCTGCTCTTCCCTGTCCACACAGTTACACAGCCTGTCACATGAACCTGACCCCACTCCCCGGCCACAACTGAGCGGAGCTGGGCAGCTCCTGAGTGCAGCTGGCTGGAAAGACCTTCCAGGGAACATTGGCATCAAGCACTGAGTGACTGTTCTCAGTCCGTCTCATCAGTAGGCAAACCATCAGCTCAGGGGCCATTCCTCTGATACATTCATTTAGAAGTTCCCCAAGCCTGTAGAAAGCTTGCAAGAATAGTTCAGTGAACACCCATATGCTCTTATCAGTTATTACCATTTTTATCCACCTTTGCTTTATCCGTCTCTTGCCTTACAGACCACCCACATTTTTGTTGTTGTTGTTAAACCATTTGCAAGTTAGTTACAGACATGATGCTTCATAACTTTGCCAACAAAGGCCCATCTATTCAAAGCTATGGTTTTTCCAGTGATCATGTATGGATGTGAGAGTTGGACTATAAAGAAAGCTGAGTGCCGAAGAATTGAGGCTTTTGAACTGTGTGTTGGAGAAGACCCTTGAGAGTCCCTTGGACTACAAGGAGATCCAACCAGTCCATCCTAAAGGAAATCAACCCTGAATATTTATTGGAAGGACTGATTATGAAGCTGAAACTCCAATCCTTTGGCCACCTGATGCGAAGAGCTGACTCATTTGAAAAGACCCTGATGCTGGGGAAGATTGAAGGTGGGAGGAGAAGGGGACGACAGAGGATGAGATGGTTGGATGGCATCACCGACTCAATGGAGATGAGTTTGAGTAAACTCTGGGAGTTGGTGATGGACAGGGAGGCCTGGTGTGTTGTAGTCCATGGGGTCACAAAGTCGGTCACAACTGAGCGGCTGAATTGAACTGATGATGCTTTACCCCTAAATAACATATATCTTGTAATAACAAGGATGTTCATCTACATATCCAGGTATAATTATCACCTTGTGCAAGTTTAAGCTGATATCTATTCTTTAGTCCATATTATCTGGTATGTAGTCCATTATCTGATACTTAATCTCAAGGTGTCCTTTAGAGCTGCTTTTGTTTGACTCAGGAGCTGGTCACCTTTGATCTGGGTCATGTCCTCAGATTTCCTTTGTCTTTTATGACCTTGATGTCTTGAAGGGAGCCTGGTATTTCTCCAGTTCCCCTCAGGTTATATGAGGCAGGCAGGAGTGCTCCCTGGGTGAGCTTCTGCCCCCATGGGTCCCATGATGTCAGCTCCATGTAGACCTGTGAGCAAGAAACAGGCTGGTGTGTCCCTCTGCATGGCTGTACCAACTCTGTAAAGGGTCCCTGGAAGCTGGGAGATTTAGGGCTCATGGAAGGCTCAGAGCTCAGAAGAGCCCTGAGCTGGGGAAGTCCTAGGAATCTGTCCCCCGCATCCCACCCCTAACTGAGCCCTGCAGAGGAGGACGCGGTGTGATGTAGGACTGGGCCAGAGTGAATAATGTCCTTGGCTTAGTTTCCAAATTGGGAGAGGATGGCAATGATACTTACCAAGGAGATGGTTTGGGTAATGGGCCAGGCACAGACTCTGTGCTCAATACACCTCACTTCTGTCGGTGACTGTGCTCCAAGGCAGTGGGGAGGCAGGGTGAGCCTCAGCCCCCGCCCCCTGCCCAGGGCAGACAGAGACGCTCCCCTAGGGCCCCTTCGGTCAGCAGGGAATCAACCACCTGCACCCTACTTAACCTTGATTACTCTTACTTCCTGGGAGTTCCCAGAATGCCTCTTTCTTTGACATACTCTCTCTAATGGAAATAGCTTTTTTGTTTTTGTTTTCTGGGCATAAACATAAAATGAAGCTTGCTTATAGCAAAAATGCAGATCGAGTCTTTAAGGAACCACCAGCAGCTGTCTTTGACCAGCCCAGTCCCGGTTGGGTACACTTGGCTGTCCTGTGATGCTACCGTGATGTGACCTTGACCCTGACTGTTCTGACCTCTGACTTTTGTCCAGGCGCTTGACCTCACATTGGACAGGGAACCCATTTCCATCTCAGATTCTGGAAAAGATGGCTGCAGCCTCCAAGTCCAAGTGCAGAGGGCTGTGTCCTGTTGTGGGTGACCTTGTCTCGTTCCAGAATCAGGCTGGTTTGTTCCATTACACTCTGCAGGGGTCAAGGGTTGGCGATGAAGTGGGTGTCCTGAGTAACCCCTGATAACACTGAGGACCTATTCTTGGTGGTGATGGAGGATCCTGCAGGTTGGGAAATAGTACCCCTTTTCCAAGGACCCAAAGACTGTCCTTGAGCAGAAGAGGTCTAAATTTTACTAAATACTGGGGATTCACGTTTTGGAGGATTAAGGAGGTCCAGTACTGTACAGTGACTGAGTGTAGTCTCAGGCCTATAGTCAGTCTCTGGAAGTAGGCAGCTGTGTGCTGTTGGGCAAGTGACTTAACCTCTCTGTGCCTCAGTTTTCTCCACCTTAGGGCATAATGATACTGAAGTTTGCTGAAAGGAGTAAAGGATTCCACACATGTAAATGACAGTGACACTTAAGGTTAGCTGTGAAACTGGCGAAAGCCCAAGAAAATGTCAGAAAAAGTGACCATTCTCTCCCCTGGTCCATTTTCCTCTCTCTTCAGGAGGCAGTGGCTGGGCTCCTGCAAAAGATAGAGCAGAAAGCCCAGAGACTTGAGCTTTTTCTCCAGAGTTTCGGGATTTTAGCCTCTTGTGAATATAAGAGGCTAACTTACAACCTCCCTGCCTGCTAACTTTTTGAGGTTATTATGAGAAGCAAAGTCTGCCCTGGTGGTTCCTGTGGTGCAAGAGACGTGGGTTCAGTCCCTGGGTTGGGGAGATCCTCTGGAGGAGGGCATGGCAACCCACTCCAGTGCTCTTGCCTGGAGAATCCCATGGACAGAGGAGCCTTGCGGACTGCAGTCCATGGGGTTGTACAGAGTCAGATATGACTGAAGCGACTTAGCTCACACACAAGAGGAAGAAACAAGGGAATAAAATTTAAATGCTTCCTACTGGAAATGTGGATAATGGTTGTTTCTGTTTGTTTACCTCTGCTCCACACACACAAACACGCACACACGTCCCTCACAGGCTCCTCCCACCTGTACACCCCCTCTCGCTCCTCCAAGGTCTCTCCCCTGCTCAGCCGTGGAGACCAGACCACAGGCTGTTTTGCTCCTGGTCCCCGGGCCTCTGTCTGAAGGCCACGCCTGCACCGCGAGGGAAAATTCAGCCCAGCTACATGACCAAGAGGAAGAGCAGGACTAACCCACCAGTTTCTTTGCTTAAAATATACCTTTATTATTTTATATTTTTGAGGTTGTTATGAGAAGCAATGGCCACACCGTGTGGCATGTGGGATCTTAGTTCCCCAACCAGAGATCAAACTCATGTTCCATGCGATGGAAGCTTAGCATCTTAACCACTGGGCCACCAGGGAAGTCCCTAAGCCATTGTTTTTTAGCCAGAAAGAGGAAAGAAGCCCTATCTGCAATTTTTTACCTGGACATGAGTGGCCCAGACCGTCCTTCGTAAAGTGGACACGGGCCGCTGACACCACACTTAGGAGGCAAAGGAGACCAGCTCTCGGAGCGCCCCTTCCTTCCAGACCCTGGGCCAGCCCTGCCCTCGTGAGCATCGCCTGGACCCCAGGCATCCTGCTCCCTTTTCCGGCCCAACCCAGGCCAGGTGCCTCCCTGTCTGCCCCGCGGCACAGAGGATGGATCCTGGTCACGGGCTCCCTGGGGTGGCCGGCACTGTTTCAACTGGCATCCGCTGTAGGCAGGCTCCCCTCACTCCAGCTACACCCTGACCGCCCTGCCCGTGACACGGGTAACGAAAGAGATGGAGACACTGACTGGAGAGCCGACTGTCTCTGCGGCTTCTGTCTGAGGACCCACGTCTTCCCCGGGTGACGGCACTAGGACAGGGCTTGCCCTCCCTGGAGAGGGGCATCCGCGCCAAATGCACCCTCCCGCTGTTCAGTGGGAGGCAGTGCTGCAGGCACTGCTATAAACAACCACACAGGGTAACTCATTTAATCCTCCTAACAACCTGACTAAATTGACCATTTTATCCCTATATGTGGTAGCAGAAAACTGGGTCCCCAAAGACGCCCATGTCCTACACCCTGGGACCCTGCATGCAAAAGGGATTTTGCAGATGTGATTAAATTAAGGACTGTGAGCTGGAGAGATTATCCCAGACGTTCAGGGTGGGTCAGTGTAGTCACAGGGTCCTTAAAAGATAGGGGAGGGAGGTAGAGAGAGAGAGAGACATTTGAAGATACCATTGCTGCCCTTTTCCAGAAGAAGACTCTTGAGAGTCCCTCGGACTGCAAGGAGATAAAACCAGTCAATCGGAGATAAAACCAGTCAATCCTAAAAGAAATCAACCCTGGATATTCACTGCTGAAGCTGAAGCTCCAAAACTTTGGCCACGTTGGTGCGAAGAGCCAACTCATTGGAAAAGACCCTGATGCTGGGAAAGATTGAGGGCAGGAAGAGAAGGGGGTAACAGAGGATGAATGAGATGGTTGGATGGCATCACTGATTCAAAGGACATGACTTTGAGCAAACTCCGGGAGGTGGTGAAGGACAGGGAAGCCTGGTGTGCCGCAATCCGTGGGGTCACAAACAGTTGGACGTGATGAGCAACTGAAAAACAACAACATTGCCGCCCTTGAAGGTGAAGGAGCCAAGGGCCAAGGAGTTTGAACAGCTTCTGGAAGCTGGAAGAGGTGAGGCATCAGATTCCTCCAGCCTCCAGAAAGGAATGCGGCCCTACCAATGCCTTCAGTTTAGTTAGTCCAGCGAGAGCTGCTTTGGATTTCTATCTTCAGGATTGCAAGATAACATGCATGTGTGGTTTGGAGACGCTCAGTTTGTGGTCACCTGTTACAGCAGCGATGGAAACAGCACATCACAGATGGGGAAATGGCCCGGAGGCTCCAGTGACCTGCCCAAGACTGCAGATGCCTAGAGCCAGGAGCAGGATCCGGACTCAACGGTCAGCGCTCCTGACCCCCGGCTTGTGTGGGATGCTGTCTGAGGCTCTGGTGATGGCTCCCCAGCAGCGTCCGCCCGGCCCTCCTCCTAGATGGGCTGCAGCTCCTCTTCCAGCTTCTTCTTCCGGGCTCCTTCCACGAAGAAGAAGTCAAGGCCGATGAGGGTTTTCCCCAGAGGCGTGTCCACCCGGCTGCCCACGGCCCGGTTCGTTGAATTGGGGACCGTGTCAGAGAAGCGAGGCACATAGTCTGGCAGCTTCACGGGCTCCTTCTTGTTACCCTGAGGACAGGGGGACAGTGAGGGTCATCTGCTGGGGGAAAGACAACTGGAGAGGCCTGAGCGGGGAGAAAGGGGCGGGGGCAGGTGGGCTCTGCAGGAAGCATCCTCTGGGGGCCTGACCTCAGGCTCCGCTCTGGGTCCAAACTCAACTCTCCAGCCCAGACAGTCACCCTCTTCATCCTTCTCACCCCCGGGCTGCCTACCCAGCGGCTTCCCTTCCCAGACCCCTTCACTGGGTTGCTTGACCGGCAATGGCCGAGGGAGGGACCACATTTAACTCTTTCTCTATCATCCTGGCTGAAGACGCTGCCCCATTCATGGTGGGAGCACCATGGGGTTGGTTTTATTTGTTTGGTCAACTTTTACTTTAAGTCTAACACACACATTACATTTACATTTGAAGTCACTCAGTCGTGTCCGACTCTTTGCAACCCCATGGACTATATAGTCCATGGACTTCTCCAGGCCAGAATACTGGAGTGGGTAAGCCTTTCCCTTCTCCAAGGGATCTTCCCAACCCAGGGATTGAACCCAGGTCTCCTGCATTGCAGGTGGATTCTTTACCGTCTGAGCCACAAGGGAAGCCCGAGAATACCTGAGTGGGTAGCCTATCCCTTCTCTAGCAGATCTTCCCGACCAAGGAATCGAACCAGGGTCTCCTGCATTGCCAGTGGATTCTTTACCAACTGAGCTATCAGGGAAGCCAAAAATCTGACACTTGTAGTCTGTTTCTTCCTGCCGCTTAAGAGAGAGGTAAAAAATGTCTGATGCTTGCAGCCTGTCTCCTCCATTTGGAGACCCCTAGCCCTCCTGCCTGTTATCTTCTCATCCCCGCCTTTTCTTTTAGGAGAATTATGTTGTCTCATCAATTTAGGGATGACGCCCCTTATCATCTTGGAAGAGTTACGGAGTGAAAACGACGCCCCTTTCCCTGGGCAACACACACACACAAGTCCCCAAATCCCAGCTCAACCCAGCCCCCCAACTCCCCCCACCACCCGCCCCCTGACCAGGAAACAGAACCCCATCCGCCTCAGACGCCCACGTTTAAGCCCTCAGTCACTGTCTCCACCTCCAAGGGGACCTGGTCTTGACCTCTTAACACCAGCAGCTGGCTTGCCTGGTTCTGAACTTTACCGTAAAAGGATCCTGTCTCTGCTCTCTGGCCCCTCTCTCTCACTACATGATGTGAGATTCCCCCGTGTTCCCGTGCGTGGCTGCGGCTGCTTCGTTCTTCATGTTATACGGTCTTCCGTGGTGTGGTTGTGTGAATACTCCACGGGTCACTTATCTATTCTGCCACATTTGGGCATTTGGGCTCGTTTTCAGTTTGGGGGTCCTTAGGAGGGGTGCTGCCTGAACACACTGCCTGGTGCCGTCCGTAAACTGATGGATGCGTTGAGTAAATGTCTGGATTATGACTAATCTGATAAGCCTTCCCTGTCCTTGTTTAAGGTTAACTTTGTGTTGCTTTGTGTCAAATCAAGTGACAGGACCAGTTTTTAAGAAACAGGATCCCGGCTCTCACCTGGGAAAGTCGGTGTGGAGGTGGCCCCACGGTGTGGGCTTTCTGGGCAGGGCACTGGTCCTAGGGGTCAGGTTGCTGATACACGGCCCTGGGCAGGGAGAGACTCTGCAGCCTGAGAGCCCAGATCAGGGGCTCAGGGTGGGAATTCAGAGCCTGTGAGCTGAATCTTCTATCTCAGGACAGACAGCAGTCCCACAAGGCTAGTCTTACAGATGTCAAACCATCTTTAAAACCCACAGGGGCCGTGCCAGTGTGGCTACCGCCTTGGTTGGCTGGTTACACTGGTCAGTTTCCAGTTTGGTTCTCTGACCATGCTTTTAACAGCCAGATCATTCTTCATTTGCTCATTGCTCTAACATGAACTGAGCGCGAAATAGTTATTGGCTGCTGGCAGGCAAAGAATAGCTGGTGGTGTGTGTTCAGCAATGAAGCCATCTTTGCCTTTCTCTGAGGGAGCCCATGTCCAGGCAAGCTTGCTCATTGCATGATGGACCCAAGTAATGGGTGAGATGTGCTGGGGAGTGAAGAATATGGTGATCTGGCCATGCTTGCCACGAAGGGGCCTCTTGGGTGGGGCCTTGAAGGATGAATAGGAGGCCACTAGGCTAATGAAGTGGGAAGGGCATAAAAGAGAGTGTGTCGGTCCTGTCTGTGTGGAGTGAGCAAGGATGGGGAGGAGGCAGGGCTGGGCCATGGGAAGTGTTGCAAACCGTCCTGGAAAATGCAGATTTATGGATTTTAAACCAGGAGAGAGAGAGAGAGAGTTTTGCAGTTTAGAAAAGTCACGCTGGTAGCCACATGAAGGATGGATTGGAGCTGGTGATATTAGATGCAGGGAATTTGTTTACAAGTGTGTTCACTCAGACTCATCCTCTATGTGGGGCCAACCTCACCTCACTCTATCTTGCTGACACTGTCGGACCGGGAAAAACATGTCAGCAGCTGGCAGCTACCAATTCCAGTGAGTTCATCTCACTGCAGTCAAGGAACACTGGGGAAAATTCATTTCTAAATGCTCTACAGAAGTATTTTCTTTCCCATCAAATCCAGAGTTTCTGGAAACACGGTTGCATTTTATTCATCTCTGCACATTCCAGCATCTAGCACCCAGCAGGTCCTCAATAAACATGAGATGGATGAATAAACACTCCAAGTGCAAGCGTGTCAGACGGGAACATGGTTTGTCTTACCATGGGGTCATAGTCTTTCAGGAAACTCCAGTTCTGAGCCCTGGAAAGGAAAACATGATGACAGTGTGATCCTACCTGTGACGTTTTTACCATCATTTTAACAGGGTCACTCAGATGGTAAAGAATCTGCCTGCAACGCAGGAGGCCTGGGTTCGATACCTGGGTCAGGAAGATCCCCTGGAGGAGGAAATGGCAACCCACTCCAGTATTCTTGCCTGGAGACTCCCATGGACGGAAGAGCCTGATGGGCTACAGTCCATGGGGTTGCAGAGTCGGACTCGACAACATGACTAACACTTTCACTCCATTTCAAGGGAATAAGTTGCTGCCACAAATGCATGTATTACATCATGGAGGAACTACAATCATTAAGTGGAACAAACTCCAAGGATCAACATTTCAATAGAGAGGAAAGTCTGATTGCAGAGGGTGTGTGCAGAGGTAGATCAGGAAACCGGAAGCCGTCTCACCCCGTGCCTCTGCCTGGGCAGGGTCGAGTGTGGAGGGTGTCGGTCTGCCAGTCTTTTGTGAAGAAAAGCCAGCTTTCATTTCTGCAAAGCTTGGTAACCTTCCAGGGCATGTGTCAGAGGAAGGTGGGTGGTGATGGGGAAGTGGTACTGAGAAAAATTGCATTATCTGTGCTGGCAGTTTCATTTTCATTCTATTTTTAAAAAGTCAAATAATTCTCCAAGACTTAGAAGAAAAAAAGAGGTTTCTCTGCCCCAATCCACACAGACCACAAACACATGACCCAGAGTCGCGGCACCAGGGGGACCCTGTCTTTGTAATGTCCCCTGTACCCCAACACACACACACACACACACACACACACACACTCCATCTCTCCGACTCCAATCCATCCGTCAGCAATTCTAATTCTACCACCAAAACCTCCCTTGAATTCTTCCACCGGTCCCCAGCTCAGACACCCTGCTGTTGCCGGTTTCTTAAATGTCACTTTGCCCTGTCCCGCGCCCCCCCCCCCCCCATTTCGAGGTGTTCCAGGCACAGCAGGCAGACTGGTCATTTAAACTGTAAACTCGGTCCAGTCAGCCTCTTGCTTAAGACCCTCCAGGGTGTCCCATGACATGCGAATAAAAGTTATCGGGACTTGGGTAACTGCCCGGCTGCCTCTTCCTACTCCCCACCCTGAGGCTCTTGTCCCCTTCCTGACCACCCCAGCCACACGCAGGGTCTTTATGTTGTTGCTTTTTTAAATACACCAAACTCTTCCACGGCCCTGCGCATACTGGGGTCTTAGCCGGAAACCCACTTCCCCCTCCTTGAGCCCGTAGAAAAACAAGGCGCCACTCTGCTCCATCGGTCCCCTCCTGACACCAGCTGCACGTTGCTCTTGCCTGTGACTCTGTTGCTTTTATGGCTGCCTTGTCCTGAGAGTGAGGACTCCATGGAGACGGGCCTGGGCCTGTCTTGTCCCCATTGGCGGCCTGGCACGGCGGTGGCTCTTCTAGGGACTTCTGGACTGAATGATGCCTGAAGGGATGCCCTTTGCTGGGTCAGAGGGCTGGTGCCTCTTCCGAGGCTGCTGCTGTGGCTTCCTGACCTCCCCCCGCTCCCACCCTCGCAGTTCATCATTTTGAGCTCCAGCTGGAAGGATTATTGCAAAGGGAAGCCGGCTTCCAGGATGCACGTGGTGGGGATGCACATCCCACCTACCTGGCCCTACTCTGGGGGCCCACGCTAAGCTCCCTCACCTCCCCTGGTCCAGGCTCTCGCTCCTTGGCTCAAGCGCTTTTCTATCAATACCCTTCGCCTGGCTTACTCCCTCTCACCCCAGGTCTCCCTTTCTCCAGAAGCTTCCTAGACCCTGAGCTAGGCTGGGAGGCCCTGGGGAGGGGACAGGGCGGGACACTCACCAGCGCTGCTGGCTCCTCCTCTCGGCCTCCAGCAGCTCCCTCCACAGCTGGTCCCGCTGCACACCATCAGCCCCCAGGGCTGACCGCTTGGCCTTCGGGGCCTGGGGGCCACCCGCGGGACCACTGCCCACCACAGGGCCCCCTGGGGCAGTGGACGGGACTGAGGCTGGAGGCCTGGTTGAAGGCAGTGGGTACCCAGCTGATGTAGTTCTCTGGAGTCCAGGGGTGGGGCGGCTTCCCATGGGTGCAAGTGTGTAAGAGTGCGTGTGTGTGTGTGTGTGTCTAAGAGAGAGAGAGAGAGACTCCTGCCTGAGCTCAGAGGGCTTTCCTGCATTTATACCAGGAGAGCTGTGCAGAGGTTCTCCTCAATGGCCCCCCGGATCCTGAGCTCAGAGGGGCTGATGGGGACCAGGCCCTCCAGGCTGCAGAGAGCACTGGAGTCCAGTCGTGTCTGAGCTTCTGTCTGTGTTGACTGTTGCCCTGGGGACAGGCAGCTCCCTAGTGTGCTAAGGAGGGGGAGGGCCCTGTGTGTCTGTGTGTGTGTGTGTGTTGTGTGTAACAGACATCTGAGCCCCAGGCTTGGGTGGAGAGAGTTCCGGGTCTGTGCCAAGCCCACTCAGCTGCCCTCAGCCCTGCCCTCCTGCCCCCCTGCCCCCCTGCCCCCCTGGCTGGAGACCTCAGTAGAGCCTGGGGGAGAGGGGCAGTAAGAAGAGACGTGGGTGGGATCCACCCCAGGTGGGTGCCGTGAGGCTCCCAGGAGAAGATGGACAGGCGGTGCTTTGTGAACAGGAGTGTGGCACTTTGCTTCTCTCTCCGATCATGGAAGAGCTTACGAGTACACGCTAGGCGAGGGACCATCAGTGATGGTGCAGTTAACACCTGCTCTTCTGCAGAGACCTGGAGGATTTGCAAAGTCCCTCGATCTTGCTTGACTCCCCCAGTCATGCAAGGCAGGCATCTCCAAGCCCACTCTACAGGTGAGGAAATGGAGGCCCTCCCAGCATGATAAGTGGCTGCCCAGGGCCACTCAGGTGCCGGTTGTAGCCGGGCCTTGAGTTCAGATCTTCAGAAGGAAACAGTGAGAGCCCCCGGGGTGGGGATTCCTGTTCTGAACCTTTGGTCCTCTTTCTGCTCTGACCCACGCAGCCTGGTTCCCTTGTGGCCCTAGGAGGCCCTAGCTCTGCTCCGCTGACGTCCTCAGACATCTTCCCCTTGGTTTGTGCCCCCGGCCCCTTGCACTTCCGGGGCTCTTGACTCCTTCTTACCCCCCGTGTGTGTTGGCAAAGTCATGGTTCTGTGGCATGAACACCTGCTGGGCATGGTGCTCCTGCCTCTGCAAGGCTGGGAAGCAGACACATGGGCGGATGGCTACACACATACACACACGAACACACACGTGTGCACACTCAAAGTCCTGCTATGTGGAGGGTGCACAGGGCACCCCAGGGTGTTGGCACAGGTGCAGCCAACACACCAGCTGTTTGCCACCCTGGGTGCGTCTTTTGGATTCTATTTTCATGAAGGGAGCCCCAAGGACTTGGGTCTTATGGGTGCAAAGCATTTCCAGGTGGAAAAATTGGGGCAAATGCAAAAGCTTGCCAGGTGGCTCGGTGGGTAAAGAAGCTGCGTGCCAATGCAGGAGATGCAAGAGACTTGGGTTCTATCCTTGCCTGGGGAAGACCCCTGGAGGAGGAAATGGCAACCAGTATTCTTGCCTGGAGAATCCCATGAATGGAGGAGCCCGGTGGGCTACGGTCCCTGGGGTTGCAAAGAGTCGGACATGACTGAGCTACTGACTGACTGAGTGCAAAAGCTTGGGTGCAGGAGAGAACAGCGGTATTTGAGCTCAGTCATTGGGGTTACAGGGAGGGGTCCGAGCCACGGGCTGTTTGGAGCTGTGTGGGGAGCTTGTGCACAAGGGAGCGTTCCTGCCCTTGAGCTACGGGCAGAGAAGACCAGGGAAGGACATGTGGGTGAGGGGACGTGGCCGTGGTCCAGGTGAGAGGAGGTGGTGAAGCCCCCACTGGCCTTGGCCGAGGACCGGATGGAGGAGATGGGGTGAGAGCTGCCAGACTGCCGAGAGCTGCCGCACTTGTCTGAGGAAGGGGCTGAGTGAGTGTGACCTGCTGGGACGTCTGTCTAAAAGCAGGGGCTGCGCAGTTGGGCCTCTGTCTCTCCTCTTCCCTCTGTTCTTCCTCCAGAGCCAGGATGAGAACGGCTGGCCGTTAGTAACTGGGAAGCCTCAGGGCTCAGAAGCAGGCTTCCCTGGTTGTCACTCTCTATTAGGTGTTTGTGGCCACAAACAGAGCCAGGACAGGTACATGCAGTGCCCCAGAAGTGGTGGCTCTGACCTCCTTCAGCCTCTGGAAGGGGTCTCATCAGTGTGTTCACAGAGCCCAGTGCCTGCTGCTGCACCACTCATGAGGCCAACTGCAGACAGCACAGAGTAGCGGGAACAGCCTGGAACAGCCACGCAGTCTGCTCAGATACCCTGGCCCAGGTTTCCCAGTCACTTGCTCCAGACATGAGGAACAGGACCAAAAAGGCCAGCCAGGGCCATACTGGATGGCCGAGCATCTGGTGTATGTAGAGGCTGAATGTTTCCATAGGGACTGGTTTTTAAAAATTAAAATGTATTTAGAAACTTTTATAAATCAGTCCTAAAGGAAATCAATCCTGAATATTCATTGGAAGGACTGATGCTGAAACTGAAACTCCAATACTTTGGCCACCTGATACGAAGAGCTGACTCATTTTAAAAGACCCTGATGCTGGGAAAGGTGAAGGTGGGAGAAGGGGACGACAGAGGATGAGCTGGTTGGATGGCATCACCGACTCAATGGACATGAGTTTGAGTAAACTCCAGGAGTTGGTGATGGACAGGGAAGCCTGGCGTGTTGCAGTCCATGGGGTCGCAAAGAGTCAGACACGACTGAGTGATTGAACTAACTGACTGACTGAGAAACTATTTCAGACTGATAGATGGTAGAGAGATGAGTATATATGTGACAAGCATACACAATAGGATGTTGCTTATAAAATCTAGGGGATGGTTAAATGGGTATTCACTGTATCATTCTTTTGACTTTTCTATGTATTTGGACATTTCCAATATAAAATACTGGTGGGAAAAGAAGACTGCACCTGCCAGTCTAGCTTGAACACATTTCTTTTCGCAATCACTGATCTGAAAAAAGTGTCCAGATTCACTCTGGGTAGGTCTCACTAACCCCACCCCCATCCCTCCAGCCCCAGAGAATCAGGGGGTTGCCCCTTGCACACCTCACATCCTGTAATATGGCTTTCTGTACAACTTTCTAAGAAAGGGGAAAAATCCGTGGATTTGAGAGGTTGCTGGAGTTGTGTTTCTCTTCCCGAAATCCAGAGTCCCAGACACCAGCAAAAGTCCAGCCTTATGAGCAGGCCTTTTGAGGACAGTGGTCTCAGGGCTGTTGTGTTAACTCTTCTGTGCTGGTGCCACGTGGCTGACTAACAGCTGACTATCCTGCTTTCCCCAGGAGCATCCTTGATGTGCAATGCGTGTGTGTGTGTGAGTGTGTGCACACATTCAGTTGTGTCCAGCTCTTTGAGACCCCATGGACTGTAGCCTGCCAGGCTCCTCTGTCCATTCTTGCCTGGATTCTCCAGGCAAGAATATTAGGGTGGGTTGCCATTTCCTCCTCCAGGGAATCTTCCCGACCCAGATTTCGAACGTGCGTCTCTTGCATCTCCTGCATTGGCAGGCAGGTTCTTTATCAGCTGAGCTGCTGTGGAAGCCCAGAGGTCTTGATGATTTCCAGGAATTAGGTACACTACATTTTCAACACCAATCTCGGCTCTGAGAGATTATTTAAATATTCTCTGATAATTACATTAAAAATTGCATTTGAATAGCACTTCAGGATTGAGAGTGAGCTCACCTGCATTTCTGCCTGAAGCATCATGACGACCTCGTGAGGGGGGGGGGCTGGACATTTCTGGATTTGAGTGCAGAGCCTGGGGGCTCAGGAGAGTGACTGCCCTCACCGCTCACCCTCACCGCTCACACGGGCAGGAAATGCAGTGTCAGGAGCGCAGCCTCTCCTGACTGCCATGGTCTCTTCTTAAATTGTTATTTGCAGAGAAAAAGCAACCCTCATAAACGGTTTTACTTTGTGCAAAATATAAACTCACTGGCTGATATTCTGGAGACTCAGGCTTCCCTGGTGGCTCAGCTGGTAAAGAATCTGCCTGCAATGCAGGAGACCCTGGTTCGATTCCTGGGTTGGGAAGATGCCCTGGAGAAAGGATAGGCTATCCACTCCAGCATTCTTAGGCTTCCCTTGTGGCTCAGCTGGTAAAGAATCCGCCTGCAACTGGGTTCGATCCCTGGATCGGGAAGACCCCTGGAGAAGGGATAGGTTACCCACTCCAGTATTCTTGGGCTTCCCTGGCAGCACAGTGGGTAAAGAATCCACCTACAGTGAGGAGACATGGGTTCAATCCCTGAGTTGGGAAGATCTGCTGGAGAAGGGCATGGCTACCCACTCCAGGATTCCGGCCTGGAGAATTCCATGGACTCTGTGTGTGTGTGTGTGTGTGTGTGTGTGTGTGTGTGTTAGTCATGTTTGACTCTTTGTGACTCCATGGATTGTAGCCCGCCAGGCTCCTCTGTCCATGGGGTTCTCCAGGCAGAATACTGGGGTGGGTAACCTATCCCTTCTCCAGGGATCTTCCTGACTCAGGGATCAAACCTGGGTCTCCTGCATTGCAGGCGGATTCTTTACTGTCTAAGCCACCAGGAAAGCACCTGCTTCTTGTGAATCTGAGCCAAATGCTAAGTAGAACATGCAGCTTTTCCATAAAATGCAATATTTTTAAGGCTCTGCCTACGGAGAAGCCTTCCAATAACACACCAGGGGTGATGCTGGATCACATAACTCATCCCCTGCTGGTTCTCAAGCTCAACCTGAAAAAGGAAACAATTTCCTATGTTGGATAAAAACCAAAGTTCCCACGGCTGACCTCCTGCCTGTTCAGTTACAGCGGACTCCCCCGGGGCAGGACACTTACCTGTACTTGCAGTTGTAGATGTCCACCTGGCCAGACAGGACTGAGCGACTTTCACTCACTGGATTCCTGGGAATTAGGAGTACTGGAAAAAATACGCTGGGCCATTTATTTTATTATTTTCTTTATTCTGTAACTTCTCACTAATGGCAGGTGAGTGGAGAAAAGGGGAAGTTGAACTGGGGATGGTTGCAATACTGAACTTCGGCAGCAGGGGGCAGCCTGTAGCTTTGCATGCTCTGTGGGGCCCTGAACCACCAGCTACGTCTCCTACCATCATCCCAGGAACCCCTCAAAGAAGCTGGATGTCTTTAAGATCGCAGGCACTTTGAGAATGAGTGTGACGTCCAGAGAAAGTGTCTGTGAAGGAACCCCGCGCAGCGGGCTTCC